GGCAAAGGAAAAAGCGTCAAAGTAAAATCATTTTCTAACAATGCGATAATGGCTTTGCGTTTCTCAAAGTTTCATTTTTTTTATTTTTTATTTTAGATATTCCAATAAGTTTATGACTTTGTGACTAGTTCAGTTCGGGACGGGTTCCAAGATAAAGGCTTTAAACTCTCCTAAAGACGATACTAGGAAGGATCGAACGCATATACTCTCGTTCTCACTCTCACCTACTCAGTTTTTTCAACTCCAATTGAACTACATAAAGTTTCATATTTTGAAGCTACGACAAACCTATGAGTTGTACGGATTTGTAAACATTATCCATCTATTGATCGTTTACATTGATAAGCATGAGATTTAAGTATATGTGTTGAGAATTGAAATTTACACACATATTCACGTAATATAATGGGAATATTATTTCTCATATTATATGCGATAATTTATCTCATGCAACACACATAAAAATGGATAAAACATATTTATTTTTTTCTCTCTTTTTTTAATGATGAGTCTCACTCACTTTTATGTGTGTTATATGAGACAACATGAGAAATAATATTTCCTAATATAACTACAAAAAAACAGGCATTTAGCGGCGGTTCATTTTTGGTATACGCGACGGTTACAACTGCCCCTAATTGCAAAAATGCATTTAGTGACGGTTGTAACCGTCGCGTATATCAAAAATGAACCGCCGCAAAATGCCTATTTTTTTGTATTTAGGTGATGATAAATGCACATGTTTACATTTATATATTTTTTATGAATGTATTGCTTTACAAGTCCTTACACAGCATTTTAAGTTTCACTTGAACTATATTTAGATGCTTCAAATTGAACACTTAATTATTCATATGTTTAACTATATATTAATTTTTATGTTATATTTTTTTGTGATGTTGGGTCAAAGTATTTCAGTGTAATTCCTATTCTCCCAGGAGCGGAGTATGGGATAAACACGCAAGCATCTTAATTAGCTGCAAAAACATAGAAAGAAACAATGAAGCAAATAGCAACATATTGGCTACGGAAAAACTCTTTTGACAGTTGTATCCCACTTAGAAATAGTTTTTTTTTTTTTTTTTGAATAAATAACACATATTTTTATTGGAGACAATCTTATTTGAGTCAAAAATATTCATATTATAGTGGGATTAACTCTACCAAAGAAAAAAAATTTATGTTCACAAAGACTTGAACCCAAAACCTTACTTAAGCACAATTAAACATATATCACTTCAACCAACCTTGTTAGAACTTAGAAATAGTTTCGTAATCCAAAAAAAAAAAGAACTTAGAAATAGTTTCAATTTCAAGTTGTCGATTCCATCCGTTTGGTTGTGATCTCGGAGCCACAAAAATATTTGCTTTCTAGTTTCTACCTTGGAGCTGAGAAACAGTTCGAATAAGACGTAAAGAGATTGGGAGAATAGGACAAATAACAAGAAATTATACAGCTCAAACATTAATTAAGAAAGGTTTATATATGAAGAAGTGGTTATGTATTTATATGCTATGCACCAGTATGTTTTTTTTTTTTTTTTTAGATAAAAAAATAAAAATAAAATATAAATATAAATAAATTATGCACTCACGTTTGTTTAGACTTATGTTTGCACTACAAAAAAAAATAAAAAAATACGGTACTTAGCCATGGCTAAAACCGTGGTTTAAAGTTTTATCTCCCAATTTTGAAAGTTTTTAAGCTAAAATAAACGGTATTAATAATTTATTTAAGCGTAAATTATGAAAAATCAAAATATTATATAAATTTTCTTTATGAAAGTATTAAATGTTTATTTATTTAAATAATTTTGAATTCGATAAAAGAAATAAATTCTTTCAAAACTATACTTTTGGACGGCCTGTGAATTAGCCCTAATTCATAGGATTTTCAGCCCATGCTTACCTTTTATTATTGTATCACCGCTATGACCTTTTATTATTGCATGTCTTATTGAAGGAACTCCATAACTGAGAGGCAATGGCTTACGGAGTTATCTTTTATGTTCTAAACCATGATGTAAGGGCATGTTTGGTACATAGTATAGAATAAGGTCTGATAGTATAAGACTTGATTGTACAAGACCTGATTGAATTTTAATATTATCCAGCGTTTGGCACGGTATTGTATAAAATAATATATTGTATAATATAATATCATCTAGTATTTGATAATGCACTGTATAATACTATATATGATAAAAATAAATATTTTTAATAAAAATATCCTTTAATAAAGAATTTATATAATTCTTCAAAAAATGTCATATGATATTAATTTTTATAAAAATTTATTGATCTGTGTGTCAAAAATATAAATTAATTTTTATAAAATTAAAAATATTCAATATTTTAAAAATTAACATATTGAAAAATTAATTTTTATTTTAATAGATTAATATTAAAATAATATATTAATTTTTGAGTATTACATTGGTCAACGATGTTAATACCTCAATCTCTTATCAGGTCTTATCCCTCACCCTTAGGCCGGATTAAGTTATACATCGTTTTGATGTATTAAGGGATTATGTTGTATAAGCTTATATTATACGATGGTCACACCAAACAACTGAAAATGTCATAACGTATAGTATAAGCTTATACTATCATGCCTTATACATCACACCAAACAGGCCCTAATTGACAAATTTTCAGCCATTGTTAGAAGTATCCTTCCCCTTTTAAGAACTAACACATAGAGCCTCATTGTGCAGTTTTGACCATTAACCTTGGAGATAAACCCTCTTCCAGTTTATTACTTTATCTAAAAAAAAATAATTCAATCCAAAAACTTAAACATATAAGTGATGATCATATTTTATTTTATTTTTTGTTTATCTTATGCTAATTTTAATTTACTTTTTTTGTTAAAAAAAATGGGATGAATAGAATCAAATTCGTGACCACTTGATCACATAGATTCTAATCCCATATAAAATATCAATTCAACTCAAAAATTTAAATTATTAAGTGAAAAAACTTTAAATTAATTTATATTATATTATTCCTTAACACACTCGTTCATATCAAGAGTCTTATAAGATTTAAATGTTGACAATTTACACACCAAAAATCCATTTTTTTAGGGTTTGAAATATGGATTTTTCAAATTCAGGCGAGGATCTAATAATGGAGACGGCAAGAATCCAACATCCTTGAGTACCTGTGCATGGAAGCTGCATTATGCGTAACCATCGGGTCCTGCTAGTTTTGAGTACAAGATTTCCTATGCAGCAGTACTGTATAGTACATTGGGAATATTGGTCAAAAGCTTAGTGCTATTCGCATATTTTCATAGTCTGAAGTGGTGCATCATAATAATTAGTGGCCATGAGTACGACTGGCTTATTGAGTTTTTTCTGATTCAATTATCGTTTGAAATTAGAGATATCTTCATAGTTTTTCCGATGGTTTATTTGGTGTTTAGCTTCTTGCCTTTTATGTTTTCGTTTTTTTTTACTCCTATTTTTATTTTTATTTTTATTTTTATTTTTTTCCTTTTGAGAGTTCTCTCCAGATATATATTATAAGAAAATGACATCATTGTTCCCACTATTATTTTGTTAAATTCCCTATCTGGTGCGGTTGTCTTGTTTTTACTTGTATGAATTGCAAGCATTTTACAGCTTCTTGCACTGTAGTTTAATGTTATTATTTAAAGATGTGATATTGTACCTACTTTTTTTTATATCTACTTTATTTGTTCCTCTCCAACATCATTTGATCAGAATCTCAATTGACTTTCATTATTTCTTTCTTCTATTGAGAATGTGATCTAACAATATTAAAAATGAGTAGATAAAGTAGGTCTTAAAAAAGATAAACATAATATCATATCCCTATTATTTATTAGTATGTATGAACTATAATATTTGCTCTAACTTCATAATTATTATTAAGATGTTCAAAATTTTAATATTTTACGGTGAATTTTTATAAATTGTAAACACATACCTTATATTAGTGTGGAAGCCATCCCTAGGGTATTTTTTTTTTCTCAAACCTTTTTTTTTAAAGAATTTCTCTACGGATACATCAATTATCCAATTAATCTAATTCGAGTTAGGTAGTAGTACAAGAGGACAAAACTCTCCTTAACAAATTTTTTATTATTATGCTTTTCTGATCAAGAGATAGCACTAACTAAAGAGAGAGATGACCATTCCTATATATACATAGATTTCATTATTTAATCGGATATGTCCATCACATATTTGATCAACACTTTAAGATTAAAAATATACCAACAATTATTACTCAGGTCACAGTAACAGTCTCATGATATTTCTGACGTGAAAAGCTGGCGTTGAGATTAAGTTGGAATTTAACAGGGTGTATACGCTAGCCCTTTACATTACATGTCACAAGCCAGACAAGTTTGGACATTGCACATTCTACTGTTGAAGTGATGGAAAGTGCCCTGTCAACTAGAAACACCTTTGGCTGGGCTGGCTGATTGATATGAAATGAGCAAAATATTTCAGGTACTTGGTCTACTTCGGCCACTCCGTAGTAGAATTGAAATTGATAATGAATGTAATTTGCAAATGCCAAAATTTTAAGTTTGCGGGTTTATGTCCCACGTATTTGAATGAAAAGCGTTAATTCATACATTGCTTTCGTTGACACTTTACTGCTTGGGGCGAAAACGTTTGCTGTAGCTCACGAACGAATTTATTAAATATAGTAACGTGAAGTTAGCAAATGGTATAAAAAAATTGGGAGAAAATTTCATCAAGTGCCTCAGTGTCATTGTAAAAATGGGAAACAATTCTTAATTAATTATGTGACTTTAAAAAGCATTTAAGCAGCAAGAAACAATTCTAGTGATCATTAGTTGTCGCCTCCTCAATGAAAATATAAACAGCCATTTTTTATGTCCCTTCGCATGCAAATATCCAATCTTATTAATAAATTGACTTATTTTTTACGATAATAAATTGTAAAACTGTCCCCAACATTAGACAATTAAGTGGTTTGAAATTCTCGCCGATACACTGATTCCACTTCTTCAAATGGTAAAGAAGCATACAACCAAAGCCCAATCTTGGGAAGCTGAGACAACTGTCCAATGTCCATTCAAATTTACAACAGGTCACAATCATTGGAGCATAGCAATTTACAAGCCCCTTCCACATGCCTTCTTAAATCCGAAGGTCCACCGGGGGGTTGTATGGTATTGCAATTCATACATCACTAATATATATTATATATAGATAGATAGATCTGGTCAGCCTATTCATCAAGTATAGCCCGACCAAGATTTGTAGCTAGAGCCAGCCTAATAGAGCTTAGTGCATCGGAGGGTAAGCTAGGCTCAGTGAAGTGTGGGCGCAGCCTTGCCAAAGATAACTCTTGAAGTTTGTTCAATAGAAGATTAGTCTCGGAGACACTTAGAAGAGGACAGTCCTGCCAATTCAGCAGCTTCAACTGCTCCCAAAAGAAACAAACAAGGCAATCATATAATCATGATTCATGAGTGAAATAAACAGCTACCAATATTGAACATGTACTGGCCACAAATAACAGGCAAAAATCAATGCTAAGAGAATCAATCATGATATGAGAGGCTAACAAGACGAAACAAACTGATTAAAAAAATACACGGTTTGCTAAATTTACAACTGCCAAGAAGCTTTAGAATCAAAAAAATCATAGTATTAAAATTAACCCATAGTAAATAAGCCACATCATTAGCAACTATTACTCAATCCCAAAATACAAAATGCGGCATGACATATCCACTCCATTTCGATCAAGACGACTCAGGATCGAAGGACGAAATAACAAGATATTGGTGGTAATGAAAAAATAGATAATTGCATAAACAATCAGCATGCAATGCGCTGAGAGCCCAAGACAGAATTAGTTATAATAAGAGAACCTGCAGTTAAAGCATGTGCCAAGGAAAGGAAAATTAATATGAGAAACTTAGTTAAAACTGGGCAAACTAGAAAATATTTCAAAATCTCAATCGTATTATTTTTGCAGTCTTCTCAATTCAGCGCTTTTCATTTGGTCCACTCAATGCATGCTAAAAGAAACAATGTGAAAGACATTTTAAAAGGTTCCCGTTAACATATTAGAATAAGATTATACTGAAAATTATTAAATAAGCTCACCGAGTCATACAGAAGGGGCAGCCAAAAGCGCTGAGGGGTCGATGGATTTTTCATAAGCTGCAGAATGAAAAGAAATGTATCATATTTCAAAGCATTAAGCTGACAAATAGAACTAGATCAGAAATTAGGAAATAATAGATTTTTTATTGATAGAATTCCCCTATCTCCAGATCTGCATCAATGGAATACAAGATCAGTGATGAAGGTACAAGGAACAATGCCGGAAAACAGAATGTAAATACCACGACAGCTCACATCATCTATGATGTGCGAGAGTCTTTTGGGCTCTCCTTTCCCTTCCCTCTAATTACAAAAAAATGACTCCCAACTAATTTACTTGCCTATTCATATTCTTAATAACAGGTGCCAATCTATTAACTGTCTATCAGACAGTTATTATTGTTAATTAACAGATTTGGGCCCCAATCCCTATTGTCACCCTATGAAGCACCGATACCGACACGGCATTTTCGATACGTTCCCGATACGTGACGTCGATACGTTACTTCAAAAATACTAATATTTCGATACGTTCCGATACGTCTTAGCATTAAATAATATTTTTAATATATAGAATGTATTTCACGTTATTTAAGTATTTTTTTATTTACTAGATGAGTATAAAATATGAAAATTAAACAGCACCCATTATTTACATTCATGTCATGTATTTGTTTATTTTAATTTTATGATATTTGACCGCAACAAATAATTACTTAAAAGAAACTAAAAGTCCGAGATTAATGGGCTCAGTGTACCAAGCCCATCGAAACAAACTACATGGACAAAACTTGCTTGGGCTCTTTCTTTTAAGAAAAATATCCACATCACTAAACCTAACTTTACTTTCTTGAAAACCTTCGAGCATCTCAAGCGGCGGCTAGTTTTGGGAAAGATAGAAAAAACACAGTGGTGATGAGTTGCAGCAGGAAGATGAAGAAGACAGGCAGACTAGCAAGATGGCGCGCGCGAAGCTCTGGTTTGCGAACGACACAGAGGAGCTCGAGGTGGGTTTGCTGTGGTGTGACACGACAGTTGGCTACTGGTGCGCGATGGAAATATGAGATTTGACCGTGTCGAAATTTTGTTGACCGATCGATACGGCAAAATGGAAGCGTATCCGTCTAGGACAAATGTCCGATACGTTGGAAAAAAAAATTGGACGTATCGGTGCTTCATAGTTGTCACCCTCATTCTTCCTAACATAGACCATTTTAATTGGAGACATCCTAACACTGACAAACCAGTACAAATTAATTTCAATACAATAATATACGACGCGTAAGGGCTTCTATATTTTACCACAGTATAATTGTCTTAACTGATACAGTATCCTACCAAACAGCATATACTGTCCAATATAGCACGGAAAGAATCCTATCAAGTAATAAGACTAGTTCTTACAATCAGCATACAATTTGCTGGAGCCAAAGTAATCATAGAAGTGTGTATATAACTATTACCAATATGAGGGAGCATACAGCTTGCCTAGCAGCATCAGTTGGTTTTCCACCAGATAACTGCTGAAGGGATTTTTTGAAATCCCTATACCTGATATTTAATATTTCACAAATGTCAGAACTAAGAAAATGATTAGATGAAGACAAGAAAACAAGATATGCACAGAATTGTACATCCATACTTGTGCAAAAATTCAAGACCCCCAGCAGGTTTAGACTCAGAACCCAATAATTCAATTATGCCTTCCCATTGCTGTTAAAAAAAATAAAAAAAAGGATAGTCAAAGTGAGAAATCTAAATAATTATCAAGAAAACAAATTTTCATATCTAGGAATAAATTAAGAGATATTCAAATCTTCCAGCAGTTGTTTATTGGAACATTATGAGAAGTACCTTAAAGCTTTCATCGGAGATTGACTTTCCAACAGAATCAAATAACTGTTGGGCAATCCTATTGAGACAACTTGCATCTTGGGCTTGCTGAAGCCAAAAAACTCCAGCACCTTTACGACCATGCTTCCAGTGATATACTCCAGCAACCTATATATTTATTGTGCATGTTAAATGCCAGTAAACTTCATTATGAAAGAGCTGAAGATTTTTAATCCCCACCCATAGTATAAGCAAGAACAGTTAACTTATAATCAATAGTGCAGGTTACCTTCCTGATATTTGAACTAATATAATCAAGCTCATACAAACGGCATATCTCGATGTTCTGCATGAGTAAGAATGATTTGTCTGTCACTCACAAGTATATCAAAAACATACTAAAAATCGTGAGGATATGACTTGTGAAACAGACAATAACAATGACTAAGAAGATGAAACAGATACCTTAAGCAACACATCATTATGTTGAACAGATTGCCTGTACAATAAATTCTCTAGCAAGCCCTTTCCTTGCTTCATACATGATGTTAAATATATTGGAGCTATCTGTAGAAATGTGAACATTAGCTATATAAGTACCAACTAAGATTACTAGCACAAAATACAATTATCATGCAATGTTGATTAAATTCCATTCATCATAAAAAAACCTTCATTTGGCACAGGTTGTTTTTGTCTCTCGGTGAACCTAAGTATGAGATATCAGTTTCATCCTCACTCTCTTAAGTTTATCAACCTCGTCAAAATCCAAGGCATGTATGTGCAACAGTAAATTCTGATGTGCATCAAGACATGAATGTAATTCATCCAACATAATTCATCACTTTGTGATCGGATTAACAGGATATTTTGCTCAAGTAACCTGCACTCACTTGCCAGATCAATGCATGTGACGATAGAACTTGAGTATGTGCAACAGTAAATTCCAATGTGCATCAAGACATGCGTATAATTCATCACTTTTGTGATTGGATTAACAGGATATTTTGCTCAAGTAATTTGCACTCACTTGCCAGGTCAATGCATGTGATGATAGAACTTGAGCATATACAAGCCGATGCAGTTCCACTATGCTGATTTCCCCCAAGTTATAACGCTCATCATGTAGAAGAATCTCTGCTTGCTCACTCCCTGCAGTCAACAACTCTATGGCGTGTGCAACCATCCTATTTTATTGATACATGACACATACAAAGACCCATTTTCATCAAACCAAACTAAACAAAAGAGAAATTCAGTGCATGTTCAGTTTTGATTTATTTACACCCACAAAAAGTTTGTCAGCCAAAATCTCCATCTTGAGCGTATTAATTATAAGCTTTTTTGAAAGCAAAATAAGCTTAGTCCAAACATGCACTCAATGAATAAAGCAAAAATAAATTAACAATAGAAGAGAAGCAGCTCACCAAGGGCCAAATTCTCTGGAACATTCTGCTAAAACAACCTGAGACATTTCAAAATGCTTATTCATGTTTAAAATGTGAAGGGAAGGAATGAATCAAAGAATAATGAAATAAGTAGCAGCAGGCCACAACCTTTGAGAAAAAATTAATGCAGCATGGAAAGTAAAAGTTCAATAATCACCTCAGTATTTTCTCCAAGAATTCCAATCATAAGTCCTGTCAACTTATGGGTACTGGATGGTGGTTTTAAGTTGATGCATTTCTGGGCCAAATTATACATGCTTTCTATTCCCTGGGAGGGGGGGAAATAAAAAATCATGTAGAGGTCCACTTAAACAAAGATACAGTAAGAGAATTATTTAAGCTAAAAACAAAAGAAAAATAAATAGTTAGAAGTTAATAATTACATAAGTAGATTAAACTTACAATTGTAAATGGCCTGATGTATAGAAAATGAGAAATATACAACTCCATCCAATAACACGTAGCCATGCAGAGACTCTCGGTGTTACCCAGCATAATTTGTAGCAAGTTTCTCAAGCCCTCACAAGTTTGGTGATTATCACACTGAATCCAGAATGGACTGCAATCCAGTTTAGTGATTTGTGACCTCCATTTTTCCCAGGCCTATAAAATGGAAATAAATAACATCATATAACAGTAGAAGAAATGTACCAAATAGCAAATCCTAGAAGTATTGTGGAATCTTGGATATACCTTGATAAAGTCAGGCTTGGATTTAAAGCATTCGCCTAATTTTCCATCAGCAGATTCAGGACGCAAGTGGGGCATTTTGGAAATAAGAACAGCAACTGCCTCTACAAGTCCATTCTCTAACTGCACAATCAAAAGGGAACAGAAAATAAGACAAAACACAAGGATAAATATAAAAGGGAAAAGTGTCTATCATTTAAAATTACACAACTTACATCCTTTCACTCTCACAAAGAGGTGGGACCCACACCTTTATTTTTTTTTGTCAACTCTCTCTCCTCCTTTATCTATCTCTTTCTCTCTCTTAAAATGACACAACTTTACATCCTTTAAAATTATACACACTTTTCCCAATATAAAATGGGTTTAATGTTTCTGATTTTGCCGCAGAAAAAAAAAAATTGCCACTCACATAAAAGTGAGTGAGTCCCATTATAAAGAGAAGAGAGAGAAAAAGTTTGTGGGACCCACTCACTTTTATGTGAGTGTGGCAGAAAAAAATTTCTGCAACAAAAGTAGAAATATTTTTCCCATAGTAGCATCAGCATGAATAGTTTAAGGTTCCACAACTAATGAGGCTCAGACAGCAAACTGTTACTGATAAATATCACGAAACATTAGTTTGATAACAATCAATGGAATTAAGTTAATATAACATGCGATAGGAGTGGATGTAGGATAGGTTTTGCTTAAATAGACCTAGCCTGAAAGCCTATGCTGGTTTTCATATAGACATAACCTTAAACAAAATGTTTCTCTGATACCCTTCCATTTTATAAGGGTACCAGTACCCCCTTAACAATTAGAGGCTATTTTTATCCATCCACTTACTAGAAATATAAAAAAAGGCTACCCAATGCTATGAAGCTTCCATTATACGGTGGGTCCAGGGAAGGCTATAGTAACCAGTCTTACCTTAGCATTTGCAAGAGGCTGATTACATAAATTGAACATGTGACCTGGTCACATGGCGACAACACTGACCGGTGTGCCAAGGCTCCCCTAGTTACTTGAAATACAGCAAGTAATTCAAGTATCTATTTTTCAATTAAATGGTAGTCCGACCCCGTCGGTCATTCTCTTGAACACATGCTAGCCCTAGGCACTTCTTTCATCTTCCTAGCATGAAGCTTCTCCTTTTATTTAATTTGAAAGCTTTGTTTCACGGCTGTCTTGCATGTTCACTTGGCAAGCTTTCCGTTCAATTGTCGCCATGGCTAAGGATGGGAATAGCAGAAAACACCTCAAAGTCACATATCCCCATTATCTATGTTCATTCATTGGACAATACAGGGATCTTATTGACCAATGTCATGTTGCGCAAAGCAAACTAGGAAAAAGCCGTGAAAAATGCGCTAAAAGAGAAGAATAAATTCAGGTTTGTCATCAACTCCAATTTTTATTAAAGTATTAGACAAGAAACAATTTAATTTTCTAGTCTGCAAGTTGGGAATTTGTTGCATCCATTCTCCAACTTGAGGAGGAGTATAATAATAAGGATAAGGATAAGGATGACAATTGCCACCAGTGTTGTTAAAACGTAGTGTCGAAACGTAAAAACGGACCGTGTCTACGTTTTTATGACCAAAATCGAGTCAAAACGGTAGTTGAAACGGATTTTGAGCCGAAACGGTTCAAACGTAGTGTCGAAACGTAGAAACGGTTCAAACGTAGTGTCGAAACGTAATATGAATTTTTTTTTGCATAGTTCAAATATATATAACACGTAATAATAATAAAAAATATATATATTTTTTGTCGTTAATTAGCTTAAATTTAATAACTCATATAATTAATACATTAAAATTATTCTATATAAATTAAAACAAAGATTAAAATTGACATTCTTATAAAATAAACATGTTTGTGGGTTTTGGTTTTATATATGTTGGATTTATATTTTATTTTTAATACGTTAGTAAACTCTTACGTTTCGTTTACGTTTTGCGATTTTACGTTTTTGCTCACCCCTACCGTTTTTACATAGACTCTACGTTTTAACAACATTGATTGCCACCATCATATTAGGGATAAGGACTTTTGATTATGAAAATCACATCCCATCAAATTAGGAATAAGCACATTCAAGACGTGCTTTGGTTGGGTCTTCTAAGTTTTCTTGTGGTATATAGCTTCCAAATGTCATTCTTCATGAACTTGGAGGAAAAGTTTTGAATTCTTGTTGTGCATACTTGCTTGCCAGCACATTTTTGCTAATGGTCATTATAGCGAAGTCACTTCTTCCGTAGTCACACAATACTTCAACCAGTTCTTCAGGTTGATGGTCATTCCAACCATCTTGCTAAGTTACATTCCAGCAATGTTTATCTCTCCGACATCTCCAACATCCCTGAGTTGCCTTTCCAACCATGTTTTGTGGAGCCCAAATATATTATTTGGTTATTTTTCTTTTTTTAAAGGGTTTATTTATAATAAGTTCAAAGCTTATTAAGCTTTAGGTTGAGGGGGAGTGTTAGAATATCTTGAAGATATCATATAATATTACAAATCTTAATATAGTTTAGAATATCCTTATGGATCTCTTAGGATTAGTTTCCCTATTTCCTTAAATATAATGATTTGTTTCCTTATTTTAAGAGTCCCCTACTTAGTATAAATAGGGATTAGAGCTTTGTCTTTTCTATCATTTAATCACTTTAAATCACATCAATATACAATATTATACAGTCTTCTCTTTTTTCTCCATCTATGCCTAAATCCTTATAATATCAACACTATAGATATTTTAACAAGCATATGTTTGGTTTGCGTATACTGTAATCAGATCAGAAATTCTATTTTAATGCTTGTGTATAAGCTACAAGGCCCACAACACTACAGATTCTGATATTCATCAATTGTTATCGGTGAAGAGAAGGGGAATATGTAGTGGGTAAACAGAAAATCACAAGGGAAGATTTAAATACTAAAAAAGAATAGATCAGGGATGTGAATCTAGTTGAATAATCCAGGCATGTGGCCAATAATAGAAAGCAGATTTTTACCAGGAAAGCCAAATTCAAACTATAAAATTACCAAAACCATATTATGCAAATTCATCTCTTTCATATAATAACGTTTCCATATTTTTCATGCCCACCTCACGATTGCTGAGCTGATCTAGTTGGTAAGATCCATGCAACCGCAGCATTTTTACCTGCAAGTAAAATCCAACTTAGTATAAAGTCTTTATGTACAAGGAAACATACATCAGATGCGACAGAGAAATAGCAGAAATACAGTAGCCTACTAGCCTTTACTAACCACAATATCAAGCCAACCAACTGACAAAGCAGATGACATCACTTCCCAGTATTTAGCATTATCTTCAATCACCTGCTTAGACAAATTTCATAATTTTACTTGCCAGACATCCGAGAAATTGACCAAACACAATGATTATAGACATTAGTTAAACAAAAAACTGATAAGTAATGAAATAGGTGATGTACTAAATAATACTCTATATTTGTTAAGGTAGCACTCTCTGTAAATGTGGAATACGAAAACAAAATCCAACCCTTGGACACAGACCTCATATAGATCTTTCAACTCATATGGATGTTATTTATGAGTAGGTCTAGTTCAGAAACAATTGCTAATTTGTCTTTACATTGTCGAGTGGCTAACTCTTGGTGAGCACTGCATGTATACAGCATAATTCCTTCTTGAAGCAGTTCCTCTTGTGGTATGTTTCAAGAGATTTGGCAAGAATACGGAAGCTAAGGTTTTATGGCAGTGGCAGTGGCAGTGTGGGGTTTGAGCTGTCTAAGGAGTATTTGATTGGAATGGATTCCCATTTTTTTCAAGGGCTCCTGTTTCCCTTATATATGTGATGGTATAGGACTCTTTTGTAGCCTCTCTTTATTGATAGGACTATTTTTTTGCAGGGGGTGGTAAAAGAATAAATTCATTAAGATGAAGAGGAGATGATTACAGGGTAGGAGGGTAAGATGTCCTCCTTACAATATAAATAATAAAAAACGACAAAGTACAGAAAGACATCAATAAAGCAAAGCTGTCCAATCTCTTAACATTTCTGTAAGAGAAACCCCTTAAAAAGGACCATGGGCCTTACACCAAGTAAAAGCCATACACCCAATCTTATCCCAAAGGAGCTGCTAATTCAAAAAAATCTCCTTAGGGGGCATTTGGTAGAGGAGAAAAAAAAAATTATCCAGGAATCACGATTCTCAGGAATATGGTGGGAAAGTGAATTTCTAGGGAATGTTATAAAAAAACTGTTAGGTAGGCCAAAATATTCCCGGGGATGTTGGGTCAATTTTACTGATGTTATGTTTGGGTTGATTGTAAAATATTGCTAGGAATGTGAAGTAATTTTATGAAAATAACCCTGCAACTTTTATCTTTCTTATTGTCTTAGTGCCCTGAAAGAATTTTGAAAAAGTAAAAACAAAGATTGAAAAAAATTCATCCATTACTGGTAAAGATAAAGACGCATGGCAAAGTTAGAAGTTGGAACCATGAACGCAAAAGGGCAAAAAAAAACAGACACACAAAATTGCAAAACGGTTCCAGAAATTACAGGTCCAATTGCTTGGCTTAACCAACATATGAAAACAAAATCGTGGAAGCAAAGTTTAGGAGCTGAAGATTAAAATGTTTTACCTGAACAGTCAGCAGATCAGAAAGGAGTCAAAAGAAGAAGAACAAAGAAGAAGAGACGGGGATAATTTTGTCCCAGAAAAAATAACAAAGTTTCCCATCGGATGGGATTCTCAAAATACCACATGTTGATGGTATTTTGGGTTGGGATTTGTGTGTGTGAATAAGAATCCTAGGATTGTAATTTTCCCAAGAAAATTTCTGCACATCTTTGTACCAAACATGGGAAAGTAAGAAATCCAATGTCACTTTCCCAGGAAAATAAAAATTTCCCCACCTACCAAACACCCCCCTTAAAGATGCAGGAATTACCACCAAAATTTGGCTTCTTTCCTTCTCCCGAAAACAGTCAAGCTTGTCAACAGAGACTAGTCCAAGGAACTTTGGCAAACCCATATTAGTGTATATGTATATATAGCTGTAGCTTAGCTGTACTTTCCGTTATCTTTCTGTTGTAGTCAACTATGATCAGTTACACCTTATGTGACTGGATTGCTTTGGTTAGTACTGTTAACTCAAAGCTATAAAGTCTCATCATGTATTCTCATAATTACCAATTGAATAATACTCAAGATTCAAAGATCAGTTTTCTCTCTCCTTTTCTTTTCTGCTATCTCAATCAATCTCTTCTTCGTTTATGGTATCAGAGCTCCAGCTTCTGGGCCCTAATCCACATTTCAAGCTTCCATGGCTTCCGCTACAACAAGCAATCCTCAAACTGCTGCTTCTTCTTCAAAATATTCACAAACAACACCGGTTCTGTTCAACACTCAGCTTTCAGTGAAACTCACAAACAAGAACTTCCTGTTATGGAAGCAGATCGTTGAACCACCTATAACCGCTCATCAATTGGAGCATTTTCTTGTAAATCCAAAAGTTTTTCTGAAATATCAAACGAAAGAAGATCGTGTTGTTGATACTGTAAATCCAGCATTCAAAGAATGGGAACGAATCGATAAGATGTTACTGACTTGGCTTCAATCAACTATGTCAGAGGAGATCATCAACAAAATCCTTGGAGTGCGTCAATCGTTTCAAGCGTGGGACAAAATTCATCGACATTTCGAATCGATGACAAAAGCCAAAGCAAATCAAGTTCATTCAGAATTGAGGAATATCAAGAAGAACGAAAAGAGTGTGGAAGACTATCTTGCTCGTGTAAAGTCTCTAGGAGACACTCTTATAGCAATAGGAGATCAAATTTTAGAAAATGAATTAATTCAATGCGTTCTTCAAGGTCTATCAGAAGATTATGCAACCTTTATCACTTACTTTCAAGGAAGAGACTCCAGTAGTTTTGCAGATCTGGAGTGTAGTTTTGAAGATCTGGAGTCACAATTGTTAGCTCAAGAAGCTATGATAGCCAAGTTTCAAGCAAGTTCTGAGAATCTGAGATCTGTTAATAACTTAATATCCGAAACTGAATACCGCAGTTTAGCTCTCACTACAGCTGAAATCCTATGGGTTCAGACGCTATTACAGGAACTACAAATTCCTAGCAAAGTTCCCATCATATACTGTGACAATCAAAGCACATGGAATTAGATCTGTTCTTTGTTCGTGAGAAGGTTATTGCCAAGTCTCTAACTGTTCTTCACGTACCAGCTCCTCTTCACGTTGCTGACACATTTACAAAACCCCTCTCAGCTCCAAGGTTTGCAGAATTAAGAGACAAACTTAAGGTCTTGGACCATTCACTACTGATCCAACCCACTTAAGTTTGAAGGGGGAATATTAGTGTATATGTATATATAGCTGTAGCTTAGCTGTACTTTCCGTTATCTTTCTGTTGTAGTCAGTTATGATTTGTTATGATCAGTTACATCTTATGTAACTGAATTGCTTTGGTTAGTACTGTTAACTCAAAGCTATAAAGTCTCATCATGTATTCTCATAATTACCAATTGAATAATACTCAAGATTCAAAGATCAGTTTTCTCTCTCCTTTTCTTTTCTGCTTTCTCAATCAATCTCTTCTTCGTTTAACCCAGACACAAACAAAGAATTCCATAAAGAAACAGCTACAAAGCAATGTAAGAACAAATGGAGAATTCATTTTGAGCTCATAACACACATATTCGGGGAAATAGCCTTATGTGGCCAATGAACCTGCTACATGTCATAACACACATAACTCAAAGGACTTAACCTTAGAGGGAGATTTCGACTTCCTAATAGGTTTATCAAGGTGGAATGAAACTCTATTTGACGAATGGGTAAGAAATTGAAAGTAAGATTTATCGGAAAAACACACTTGAAGGATCAAGTGACCAAAGACTTCCTAATATGCATTTCTTATTATTACTATTATTCATCTAATGCAGAAATAGCCAGACCTGTATGCTGACAAGGTCTTTCTGAAAATCCACAAGCTTGCCATGGATTGTTTCGTGTGTACTAGTAAAGAGACTGTCATAATCCTGTCATGAAGTGCAACCATGAACTTAAAATAAGCATATGCTATTAGTGTTAAAATAAAAAGCAACAATCTGCAAAACTTGTCAAGAAAATAAAAGATTATTACAGCTAACCAATCAACAAGCCTTTCGGGTAGCCATGCTTGAGATTGCTTGTCCACATAGAATATTTCCATTAACTCCCATGCAGCTTTCAAACATGATGGCTCCTCACCTTTCTACAACAAGGGTTAAAAAGTAAGCGACTAACTTCTTGGTATTATAAGTCCCACAAAGCTGGCCTCAGCTCAATTCCATACAGTCAGTAAAACAATTTAGAAACTACAATAGTATAGTACCTTAACAATTGCGTTCGGATCTTCAATTATAGGACTAGGGGCCAACTTTAGCCCCCCAAGAAGTGACGTTATGTCCCTGCTATACTCAAGAACATGCTCCCACCTGAGTGTAAAACAAAATGGTAAGCTATTGTCAACAAGCGCACTTAACATGAAACCGCACATAATTGTCAACCCGCCGCAAAAATGCATGATTTAAAAATCCATATAAAATTAAGTCAGCAATTTCCAATGCCACCCAATTTGAAAGTGCAACCATTTGCAGGAGGTGCCCCGTGCAACGAGATGAAGTTGATTTAGATGAATAAATATAAAAATTGAAGGGCACAACCTCAAGATTCAGTTTTGGTATGCTTATATGGAAACATTGGAATGCATCCAAGTAAAAATAAAAAATTCAATGACCAAAAAAGAAATGACCAGACCTTCAATGTCCAAACCTTAATAATAACTGAAACAAATAAGCACGTGAATCGAACGAATCTAACACTACATTAGTATTGTTACAAGCAAAACAACTTGAGTTCAATTACCAATCTACATGATACGGCGAAGGAGCCTTCGACAGAGCAGAAAGAGAGCTCCGTCGACTCTGGAGCAGAGCGAAGGGCTCGACGGAGCCGTACTCGATACGCCGCCAGTGCGCGTCGGCGATCTCCGGATCTTCACCGCTGAGCTTGACTTCAACGACCTTGCCGCCAGCTTCGGCGTCGGAACTTCCGGAACGTTCGGTGAAGAGGGAGACGCGAAGAGAGTTGCCGCGGGACCAGGAGAAGGCGATGCGAGAAATTGGAGGGGTGAGGCCATGGTGGAGAGGGTAAACCGCTGGCGAGTCTCTGGTCTCGCCGGAGAACGGGACCAGAGCGCCATTGCCGACGGTGTCGGAGGGCATTGTTGAAAGGATACTGTGTTCTAGGGTTTTGGGTTTTAGAGAAAAAAAATAAAAATACGCGTAAGGAGAATACGAGCTCGGCTTAGCTTAGTTCAGCTAACTAGCTAAGCCAAAGTTGTTTACGCGGGAACTTGTTCATTACTTCTTCAACCCATGCTGCCATGCTGGCAATGAATTAGAAAAAAGAAAATAAAAAAATAAGTAGAAATATCACTATACCCTTTCACTAAAAATTTAAAGCATTGTTATTATTTTTATAAGTTTCAAAATTATATATTACGTTAATCATAACATTATTTTTTATTCTTTTAAAGATTTCTGATATCAAATTAATTTTTAAAATATTTAAAGTAACATCCAAATAATCTAAATTGATATCACACCAAGCTTAATAAAAGGAACACTTTAAATTTATTTCAAATATTAAAAGATTAATTTAATGTTACAATTTTTAAAAAATTAAATTAGTATCAAGTGTTTCTTTAGGATTAAAATAATTTCATCTATACATAAAATTAATTTGCATTTCTTTTTTATACTGCATAAATTTTATGCACACACAGCTGTCCAAATGACGCTTTTTGGTATATTCAAATGTACATTAGTAATCGCTTCCAAAGAAAAAATATATACGTAAGTAATTTAAATATTTTAAATTGTGGGCTATTGGTGCTCAACTTCTGTACATATCTCAATCTCCCAGAGTCTTGTAAACAAGCCTGAGATACCATTTTGCGCACAATTAGCTTATTAATCTGTATGAGAAATCCTTTTATCAGAATCGTATACTTCTTGCTTTTATAAAACCCTTTATATATACTAATTTTCCACCTCTGAAGATTGTAGGCATTCCTTTATAATTTCCTTGATCTTTCTCTTCATCAATTTATCTTTCACTCCAGCAAGCATGTTTCGGTAGAACATTTCCAACTTAATTAGCTTCTTATGATCTGCTGCCTCTAACATGTTCTCCCATTCCTTGGCAATGTCAAAAGCCCCAGAATTTCGCAACGAATCATGGATATCTTGCTCATCAAAAGGTTTTCCAAAGATAGAACTATGAAGTATACTAGCATATCTTTCCATCATAGATAGCTTTGTTTGAAGTAGCTTCAGTTCATTTAATGCTGAAAATAATTTCTCATCTGTTTCTGTGGCTCCTTCAGTCTCCCTTTCCCTCATCTTATCTTGTTCACCAGAGTTCTGTAGTTCCTCTTGTTTAAAATCTTCCATCAGTGGAGGCCACAGCACTACCTTGGGAGTGTAACAATCCATTGCCTTTCCATTTCCAAGAACCCCACTCCTTCCTCTACCCCAAGACCAGAGCTTATATCCCTCCTGTGCAACTATAATAGTATGAGCAGCCCCACATGCGACTTGAACTGGTTTTGGAAATTTAGGTTGATATGGATGGCATGAGATAAGAAGGGGAGAAAGAGCGTCACCAGATTCTGTTCCAGCATAACTAGCATCAGGGCATAAGCCAAGACCCTTCTCCATTCCCCAGGACCACACATCCCCAGCTGAGGAAACAGCACAAGTATGGAACAAGCCACAGTCAACAGAAATAAGATAAACATATTGTGGCAATTCTTTAACAGGTTCAGGAAGTAATTTGCTTTGGGTTGTTCCATGCCCAAGTTGGCCATTATCCCCAAGGCCAAATGTCCAGCATGTGCTTTCTAATGTGTCACTAGACCTCTTTTTGTGAGTGAGCAAAACAGTGTGAAAGGCACCACATGCTACCTCATAAATTGCCCAAGGGGACTCCTGATCAAATGTTTTCACCACTTCTGGACCTGGCCTATTCTCCTTATCCCCCAAGCCTAATTGACCATGGCTGTTGTTACCCCAAGAGTAGCACACTAGATCATCTTCACCCTTGTATGATTCTCCAGCACTAACAAGTGCTACAACATGTTCATTCCCACATGCAACTTTAACTACAGTGTGACCATGAAAATCCCACACTGGTGTTGGAGTGAAATTGCTTACAAGAGAAAACCCAACTTCGTTGCTTTGATGAGGACAATTTCCCCACATCCACAGGGCCCCAAGATTATCAATAGACAGAGACATCATTCCTCCTGCTTTGACATCAACAATCTGTTGCAAAGAGGGGTGAGTTGAACAGTTGAAAACACATTAATGATGCACCCACACCTTGGCTTCTTTTTCTTTTCTTTTCTTTTTTTTCTGAATAAACTCAAAAAAATGCAATTCATATTATACCTTTAGTGATCCTTTTCCTTCTGCTTCTGACACAGTTATTGAAGAATCAGCATTAGGGGGATGCAACTCGAGAAACTCGTTCAATAAGCAGGGCACTGGAGAATAATCTCCATCAGCACATTTTCCATTATTGATACCAAGTTGACCATCCATAAAGGAGTCAAGGATGTAGTAAACAACATAAATCACCAAACTTCTAGAAATAAGAATAACTGAACAAAGTAATTTCCATAACTTTAATTCCACCAAGGAAGGACTTGAAGCATATTAAGGATACATATATTATAACCCCAGCACCAAACAGATCCATCATCTGTTAACACACAAGTAACATGAACAGTCAACAATTGAAAATCAAAACCTTTTAAATATAACTCCACTTTCTCTAAGTCAAATATGTTCAACGAACCTGCTAGAGCCAGACTATGATAAGCACCAGCAGTAATTCCCACTATTCTGACACTGTCTCCTGATCCAAACTTCACTTCAACAGGAAAATACTCATCTTGTTCTGAACCTAACCCAAGCCGTCCCAATATTCCTCTTCCCCAAGAATATACACGCCCATCCCCTACACTCATAAACACCAAAAATTAAATTAGAATAAAATAAGATAAAATAAAATTCCATTGCTTTTGTTAACGCAACAAATCTCTAATAATAAGGAACCAACAGAAAGAGCAACAAATTACAGAAACGAAGACATAACGTAATTTATCTCAGTTGCGATCAAGACGAAATGCGAATTAGTGGTTAGTAGGTCGAAAAAGAAAAAGAGCACATTCAGAAAAAGTTAGTAACCAGTAAGAAGGAGAGTGTGCGCTTCCCCCGCAGCGACGGCGACTACCTTAGTTGATAAGTTGCCGGAGACGGGAAAACTTCCGGCGTCTTCCATTATGCAAACGGCTACACAAGATAACCAATTTCTCTATTTAATCATGTATGAGATAACTACACATAGCTCATGTTTTTCTTTTTTTTCTCATTGCCGGATTGGCCCTACACACTTTATATTAAATAAAATTATCACACAGTATTAAAAATAATAATGTCATTATATATATATATATATCAAGAATTTAGGTTGTTTATATTATATTCTTATACGCATATAAAAATATATAAAATCCTATATAAAAGGAAAAGAAAAAAATATGAACTCAATATATTTTTATATGTGTATAAATATAAAAAATATTATTAGCATATATATCAATATTATTTCGTAATGAGCTAAAGAATTAAGCGGTTAAATTTCATATTATTTCTCCACTATACTATTAATTAATTTACTAATATGTTCGAGTTGATCAACATTACAAGAATTAGAGATAACAAAGTTGGTGGCGTGTCCGATCCTATTTAGCAAACGGGACGGGTTGTCCACTGGCCAAATCTAATTTACACTAACTCGTCTCATTCCGTTTTTTTCTGCCATAAAATAAGTTAGTCAGTATCATCTTAATTTTGAGAATAAATTGTAAAATTCAGTCTGCCTGTTTCGTTTAATAGACAGAACGAGTTAATCCGCTCAACAAACCTGTTTTACCAGCTCTAACAAGAACAATAAAGCTTCTGCTACCAAGTTTTAAACACAAGAATTCGAGATCATTGGTTAACAACCTTTTATTAGTTAATCTCATATGCTTGTGGTGTTAAATGTGTGGACGAAATATAAAACATTATATTAAAGGGAAATGATTTTTATTTTCAAAATAATTTTTAATTTTTTTTATGATCACAAGTCAGTTAATAAATTTAGAGTAAAGTTAAATGTATATATTCTCAAATTATTCATAAATGTAAGCGTTTAACTAATGCATCGTAGATTGGTTCATGTTAGGGGTGTTCGCGGTCTGGATTGGATCGATTTTGAAAGCAAAAATCATCCGATCCAATCACTTCAGTTTGATCATATAATCATCCATTCGGTTTGAATTTTTTTTCAAATCCGATCCGATCCAATCCAATTTTTTTCGGTTTGGACTGAATCGGTTTTTAGTTTTTTGAAAATCCTAAAATTGATTTCATAATTATTGTGCAAATAACATTTTTTTTGTACATATTGGCTTTGTAATTTTATTTTATTTTCAAAATACAAAAGCATTAGTAAACTATAATATAATTTTTTTTTGGGCAATGAGATATGAAGCTCTACAAAGATAAATTTTTGTTGATGAGATGTGACTAAATTTTTTCTTGGGTTTAGTTGATGGGTTAATGGGTCTTGGGTTTAGAAATTTTTGGACTATGATTAGGGAAAGACCCAAGTAGATAGAGGAGAATTAATATATTGGATCGGTTTGGATTGGATCGGTTTTCATCAACCCATCCAAAAATCGATCCAATCCAATTAAAATTTGCGGGTTTTTTTCGATTTTCGGTTTTCGGTTTATTCGATTATCGATTTTTCGGTTCGATCACGACGGTTTAAATCGATTTAGGTTGGTTGATGAACACCCCTAGTTCATGTTAACTTATTAATATTATATCATTTCAATTACGTATTTGTATTTTTATCTTCAATAATACCTAGTATTTTTATTTTCAAGAGTAAGCACCTTTTGGGTTCCTAACTCAATAATATTATATCGTTTCAATTACGGTCCTCATTTTCGTCCATTATAAAAATAAAATCAAAAATAAATTGAATGTAAAAAAGAACTAATAAGGATATATATTTTTGTAAGAGACGAAAATGGAACTGTATTTTTTGTTAGTACCCAAAAGGGGCTTTACTCTATTTTGAATTTTAAAAATTTTAACTTTAGATCATTATCTTTTTTGGTTAAATTAATTATTTGATACCTTATAGTTTAAATGAAAATATAATTTAGAGTTTATAATTTACACCCATTTAAAAAGTCCGTACAGTTTTTTAAAAAATGTAAACAGTTCTTATTTGATGGGTTTAATTTCTATTTAGAGTGAAATTATAGAAACTTAATCATAATCATTTTGTGTTGTTTGAAAACTATGAATGCCATTTTACATTATTTACAGACTATTCGACAATTTTACATTAGTTAAAATTTGTAGGGACTTTTATAAAGATTTTGCACGTTAGGAAATAAATTGAATTTAAAATGAACCCATATGAATTAAATGAATAATTTAAGCGAAAATGGATACTTTCATGTTTTATTTAACAACAGATGGTCAGGTGAGTCAATTACAATCATACACAGATAAATCAATAATTATGATTTTGTAATTATATTTTTTAATATTTTTTTCTTTATTTTTTTATCATTATTAATTTATTTTTGTACGGCGAGTAACGTAAATATGACACAATGATTAGAAGTACGAAAGACAAAATGACGGATCCATGGCTAGTAGTGAAAAGGAGAGTTTACACACGTATCTAATATCAATATAGATAAGAATTCCTTTGACAATTGACAAGGTGTCTTTCAATTTCGTTTTCAACCTTAACACCCCGTTGACAAAAGATTAATCTAATATAGGGAGAGAAAACAAGTTCAATTACTCAATGTGATTTATTTTAAAGTCATTTGTCCCTTAATTTTTATTTTTTTCAAATTAACCTAAATATCATTTAAAATTATATAAACTGTCTATATTGCTCATGAGAACAATATATAAATGAACGTAAAATTAGCTTCATTTCTGGATTATGTCTTATTTCTAAACACCGAACTTTTTTTTTTTTTTTTGGTATGCAAACCCCGAACTGTTTGAAATTAAAACTTGAAGTCATTAAAAATAAAAAAATAAATAAAAAGTTTGACTAAATATTTTGACCAAAGAATATTTTTATTATATTTTCATTTTTTTGAATAAGAATTCATACCGATCTGGACCAAAAAAATTGCAGGAGTAAAATTTTAGAATACATCTCATAGGAGGTAGTTGAGCTTTACTTAATAAAAAAACTAATCTGATAACAAATAATTTCAGATAAAAATATTTATCCTTTAAAGGAGGGTTATTTTAGTTAAAACTAATATATGTTATTTAAAATTTAAATTAAAAAGCACTCATTTTCTCCCTTATAATTTTTATTGTGTATTTCTTTTTCTAATTTAAAATAACACAATTTTATGTCCTGGACAAATATTAATCCCATAATTTTATAACACGTGAATTTTGCTAATGAGTACCAGACAGTGATTATAAAGTTTAATATTTTTTATGATATACTCCTTTTTTAGTAGAAGAATTTTATTATATACGTCTAATTACTTTAAAAAACTATTAAATATTTTCATTTTTTATATCATAATCAATGCTTTATTTTTATTTTATTTTTTTACTTTTATTTCCTTATCGAGGTGAAAACTGGCTTCTTTTAATAAAATTTCATGTAAAGTTATCAAGAATCATATTTGATACTGATTTGGACCAACGTACGGAAGGGCAAGGCCCAACAAAAATAAGGCCCAAGCCACCATCACTGACTTAGTTACACTAGGGCGACATAGTATTTAAAGCAGGCTATATTGAAGAAACACATATCTAGTATATGCTTGGCTACCAAGTCAACAATGCTTAGTTTACAAGAAGTCATCATTGTGGAAGTCAGCAGCTCATTAGTAGTAGGATTGTCAAAACAGGCCAACCCAGCTCAACCCAACCCGACCCAACCCGTGTGCAACCCGAAAAAAATGAGCTGGGTTAGGGTTGGTTAAAAAAAAAAAAGCGAGTCAGAAAACTCAACCCAACCCGACCCGAGCCGGGTTAGGATTGGCTCGCAGGTTGACTCAAAAATTGACTCGTGGGTTGGCTCGTTTTCAGCCTATTTAAATGAACCTGTAATATTAATGCACCAGCTATGTGGCTTCTATCAGCTTAAATAATATAATTGTCTTACAGAATAGTTTATAAAAAAAGCAAAATAGAAAAAGGTTACAGAATGAGAAGCCAAAGAAAAATGTTCTAGTTTTGAATTTTCTTCATAACAAATTTGCACCAACATCGAGAAACAATAAGAACCACTTATTACCAAGTAGGTAAGATATTTGAACCAAACAGAGCCAGCACAGTCTAACAATATAAAAATGGCAACGATATAAGAAGATTAGGGACTTAGATTTAGAGAAAGAAGAAAGACAACGATAGCGTGTGTGAGTTTTGTTCCTTTTGTATATTATATTTTGTATTATTTTTAAAAAAATATATAAAAAATAATCTGCGAGCTGGCTCGTTTGACCCGCGGGTTGACTCGTTATTTCCAGAGCTGGCTCGGGTCAGGTTGGGTTGACAGCTCATTTTACCAACCCAACCCGACTCATTTTTGACAATTACGAGCCAACCCGACATGTTGCTCATTTTTGCCAACACTTATCAGCAGCTCAGATAAGTTGACCACTTCTAAGGGACAGTGAATGGGTGGCAGCTCCAGCTTGCCACCACACCTATGAATTTGAGGCTTGCCTCTTAAGGAATAGCCTAAGAGAGATCACCCATGTAACATCCCCAGCCTCGAGCCGGTTCAATTAACATGCATATGATACTTAACAGAAACAGCGGAAGACTTAACTTACGAAAATACGAACTAACTTTTTTTTTCCGTTAATCCTTTTTCACATGACATATCACATTGCATACTTCTTCTAATTTAATTCTTATTTTACGGAGACGAAAATCGGACAGAGTAACCTCTGTAAATCGGACAACTGGGGATTTTCCAATCCCACTCTCAAGAGTTCCTGATAGACAGTTTAAACAATATATATTTCCAGAAGTACCAGTCATGCAAATATACTCAGATACCCATCTATGGGCGCATGCTGAACTTGGCTCCGTGCCACAAATCTAATAGCATGCAATCCAATACATAACATAACTGAATACTACATAGTCATATCATCATGCCTGAATATATAAATGTACATGTATCGAATATGAACACTATGCAACAATACATCT